CTGCTTTTTCCCAGCAAAAACCAAACTGAGGATTGCTGCAATCTGAGAGATAGGGTCACACCCAATAAAATTCGTTTATCCAAGGATTTTAACAATTATTTAAAATTTTTGTTTAATAAGTGCCGAAAATTCTTTCAATCGCTAAGCAGGGGTATGTCCAGACATTTTGTGAAAGGTTCGTTTTTGTAAAATTGTGAAAAAATTACTAGTAATTTGTGAATATAAAATAAACGTTAAGTCACATTCTTTCAACCAGGGTCCTGCTTTTATGAATTTGTGCAAATAGGGTCTGTTATTGCAGAAAACTTTTTCAAGGAACTGTAAACCGTAAAGAGATACAAGATTACGCTAAACACTGTAAAATTATAATAAAAAAAATTAAAATTTTAAAAAATAAATAGCAATTGCTGCTATTAAATTAGAGATGCAACATACAAATATTTGGTATTTAGCCTTTACTGCTGAACGCAGAAAATTCATTTCGGACGAATAAAGGAGGAAGCGTCGGTCGTTTACATCTGTCTTTCTTTGCCCCCACCTTTGAGAAGAATTCATTCGATTAACAAAACAATAATGAAAATAAACAAATTTGCGAAGGGTTCGATTAAAAGATAAACTATTTTGTGAAGGGTCCGTTTTTAAGTTAAAATATTTTGTGAAGGGTCTGTTCTTAAGAAAATATATTTTGTAAAGGGAAACAGACCCCTGCTAAGGTATACAATTTTTCTCATCGTTTTAAGGAACGTAATTTTAAAAGGCAAAATTTGTATAAAATTGGAAATTTAAAGATTTTTAAAAATTAAATGATGGTAATAGAAGCACGTGTATTTCAAAAAGAAATAAAAAGTTGAAGAGACACTTTGGATTAATCCTTTCAACTACCTATCTAGACATCTTTCACTAAAAAATTTAAACAGACATACTTCGCCTATATAGATATTGAAAATATTAAATCTTATCCCTTAAAAACACAGCCTTTTTATTCATATTCTATTTAAAGAAAAAAAGAAAAAAAAAATGATTTCACTGTTTAAATAATAACTACACAGTAGTCAAATTATCTGTGTTTAAAGGCTTAATTCTGATTACTATTACAATTATTTATTCTGGTTTACTTTTTATACCTTTCACTTTTTCATGGGGTACATTAATTAATTTTTAAGTGATTATAAACTTTAAAATTACATTTTGAATAAATACCTTTTTTACATTAAAAAATGCACCTTTAAATGTCTATTTCTCATAATTCACAGTTTAAATTATAGAAAAAGCTTTTAAACTGTTTACCCACTAATCATTTTTTAAAAAGGAAATTTATGAAATTTAGAGATACAATAAATTTTTTTTTGTTTAATTAAAGGTCAAATGGAAAAATAATTGAACATTACATTTAGAGATTTTCTTTCATCAAAAGTGAGTTAAAACTAATCTCACCACACTCCTCACTATAATTGTAACTCCAAAATACACGGATTATAATTTCCAGTGTTTATAATTCACAATTTTCATTTGCAGTATTGGACAACTCAATGATGCCTGACATTACATTTTGATAGATTTAAAAAAACAAACATCATATATAGCTTTTTAATAGCCTAATATTATTCTGAATATAGATAAAAATTATAAATATTTAATTTAGAATAAAAATATAAAATGCGACTGACATATGAAAAGGATATGGAGTAAAACATATTTTGAAATTCTTTTCCTACTAAGCAAACATGGGATAGTTTTTTTAAAAATATATTTTAAAAAATACTTAAAATTAAGAAGACACAATGAAAACACACATGAAATGACATACCAAAAGTGGTAAATAGAGAAAAAGCTCTTGTGACTGACGTTTAGGGTTGGGGGAAAAAACAGTTTTGTTTTTCTGTGGGTTCATTTAAAACAATATGACAAAGCCCTCAACAATATTTTAAGCCCTCAACTGAATTTAACTAAACCATTCGAAAGTATTTCATAGTATTTAACAATTCCTCTCAACTATTAATCAATGTTTTTAATAAACAATTAAAAAATATTCACTTTTTATATTAAATATGCAAACCTAATAATAATAATAAAAAAAAACTTAATGTGCGTTTACCTTACTATACAACTACTTAACATGCAAAATAAATACTCAGCATTTGAGTTATTTTATCAATATATGTTAAGAGTGATTAAATCATAACAAATACAATACAATACTTTTTTTTTTTTTACATTAACAGAATTTTTTTTTTCTAAATCTAATATAAAAAGTGTAAAACTTTAACAAGCATTGCATTTCTGCTTGATTTTAACAAGCATAGAGTTGCCTTTTGCGAAAAAAAAGTTTCTCTAACTTTAACTTTATTACGGAGCTTTCTCTCTAACTTTTTAATTTGCTCAATAACTACATTAGACATTAATACATTATTTGACTAATTTTAAAAGCAATTAGAAAATGGAATCAGTGACGCTTTATTTTATATCAAGCATTCTTAAAAACATTTTGTTCCAATCAGTTTACTTTTACAAGAAAATTATATCTGAGCAGTTAAAATTTATATTTATGTTTATTTAAAGAAATACTGATTCAAATCAGCATTTAAACATAAAATAGGAAAATTTTTATGAGAAAATGTAGTATTTCTTTATTTGGATCTCTCAAAATTAAAGCTATTTATATAAATAATAAAAAATTAAATTCTTAAAAAGTTTATTATATATATATAAAAAAAAAAATTTGGTTTAAACAACCAACGCTGCTGATGTTACAAATACGAGGTATATCAAAATTCTTACAACCCTTTTTTATTATTATTACAAAATATATAATAACTATAATTAGAATTTTTGACTTTGTCTCTAAAATAGTTAATAAAAAAACTAAGTAATTTGTTAATGGAGGGATTTACATCCCTAACATTAAATGTCTAAATTTTTTATGCTTTCCTCTGTATCATGGAATTGCCTTGGTATGATTAAAACTGTAGATATAGGTTAATTTTAAGTAATTGATAACCAAAATAATAGATAAATAACTACATGATCAACAAATAAAAGGAATGAATAACATTGAATATTGATAAATTCTATAGAAATAAATTTCACAAATCACTAAATGTTTTCATTATATTTTAACTAACAGAAACAGACAAAAGGTGTAAAATTTTAGCAGCAAAGTTCTAGAATTATTTTGACTAAATCCTATTTGCTCTGAAATAAAATAAAAAAAACTACTCAAAGACATACTTAATAAAGTTTTAATGGTATGGATAATAATTTTTTTGATTTTGCATTATATATGTCAAATATTCAATTACAAAAAGAAAAAATAAATAAATAAAAATAAACAAAAACAAATTAAACAAAAACTTTAAGGAAATAAATCCTTTAAATTGCAATTCCTACAACTTAATAAAACAAACACTGAAGCAGTGAATTACCATTGTAACCCTTTAATACAAAAATTAAATGGACAAACATAAAGTGATCAATTTTGCTTCCCCCTAAGAATCTTCCATACAATAAATAATACATTTAAAAAGTTAATTGTATGCACGTCCTGACATATATTTATTAAGATCAGAAATTTATAAAGACTATTTTAATATGGCAAATTCCTACAATTATTTACCAGGATAAAATTTAACTTATTTGTCAAAAACAATGGTTTACTTGATCACCACTCATTTCAGTCAAAAGAACATCCCAAAACATACATAACCATAAAAAAAGGTCTCTGGATAATTAACAAATCTCTCAAGAATTGCCCATGAAATTATGGTTTAATATTTGAAAATTAAAAATAAAGACGTAAAGCATAATTTTTTTTATTTTCCATTTATAAGAAAAACCCTCTCTTAGTTATCTCTGTAAAGGAGTGGTCTCATAGAGAAGTATATAATACTTTCAAATCACAGAAGACTGGGAAATTATGAAAATAGTTAGATTTCCCATCAGAGAAATGCCCTTTAAGGGTTAACTTTCTTCTTTTTACTACGTTAAAGTATTTTAAACAAATATTATATGTGTCAGTAACAAATAATTTTATCTAGTAGCAATGTATATAGAACTTAACAAAAATAGAGACAAAGCTTCATGCAAATATGTATAAATAACATATGTACGATAATAAGATGCTGAATTTGATATTATTATGTAAGATTAAATAAAATTTTACCTCAAATCCTAGAAACTATGCTTGTTACTTCAATTTTATATAAATAATTTGCAGAACGTATTGATTACACGAGCCAAGGTATGAAGCTAATAGCCATGAATTTATGTAAAAAGTAAAACTTAAAAATACAAAAACTATTTATGAAAATTAAAAGCATACTTTTAATTACAGTACTTTTAACACTACTTATATCTTTATAGACATCATTAGCAACTGCAATTAAGTCTTACGCATATGTGCCGTAATAAAAAAAATAAAATCAACAAGTTACGACCAAAAAGGGCAATGACACAACAATACGAAGAATAATCGTAGCATAGAATACCACATCAAATTATAAAATTATGTCGATCAGCATATTTAACAATCATGCGAATTAAAAATTGGATATTTCGACGTACTATCAAAACAATAAAAAACAAACATTTGTAGCGTATGTTAACATTTCACATGTTAATTTAATATATCTTGGCTGCAATAGTGATAATTAGTCTGTTGTATAAGGAACATAATTAACGAATGATCACGTATATTTATTATCCAAGTTTTGTCATAAATGAAGCACGAACAAAATAAACAAAAACTCACCAGTGAACGTCATGGCATTTCCTTTCCGCATAGTCCAAAAATTATACGTTTTTGTTTTACAGATCCTGAGGTAACTTGAATATTATGTTATCCTTATAAAGTATATTTAAAAAAACTCACAAAATCTTCGATGACGGATTTTGACGTCCCTTCATTTTAAGGATTAGTAAATTGGCGCAATATTATTACGAAACGACCCATTTCCCAAATACAGCAATCTTGCATAGAGCCAACAATTCATCGAGTAGAGTTGAGTTGTACAATTTAAGTAGTGTTGTGGACACGCAAAGCGCATGTATGCTGCACCAAAGTCCGCATTACGTTCCAATAATGTAAAAAAATCTAATTAAAAATAAAATATCAACTTAAAAAATTATACAAAATGAGTTAACCATAATTTATTCTAACTTTATCAGATCAGAAAATGATAATTTTTCCATTTTGTTCTTAATTTTTATGTGAGATTTAAGATGTTAATAAAAGCGAAGTGAATTCATCATAATAAGTACTCTGTTTTTGTTTTTTGCATAAAATTTGTTAAACTAAAAATTTTTTTTTTGTTCATATTTTCTTAAGAATATTTTAGCATAATCCGTGTGGACAAAGGCATTATTATCATCTCAAGTGCGTAGACTTGTGGTGCATAAGTAATATTCTCACCCTTTCATAATTAAAAATTGGTTGAATTATTGTCTCTTTTGCCAACAATTTAACTTAGCCTTTTTATGTTGTTGTATTATTCAGAATGTTTTTGCATTATTCAAAATATCTTTTAAAATAATATCCGTTTAGCGTCTCCTATTAATAAATAAATATAAAAATTGACTGAAAATAACAAGATTTCTTTATTTGAAAAGACAACTTTTTTAGCCTAATTAGAATGGACTTCCAAGCAAATATCTCTTTTAAGTGACGATTATGCTATAAATACACACTCTGTGCTGTGTATTTATGGTGATAATTTACAATTCTTTAAATTTTTATTCAACAATTATTCTCATTAATTTTTCACAGTCTTCTTTTTGTTTCATAAATAATGTTTGTTATGGAAGATTCATTAAACATTTATATGTTATAATATATGTTTAACTATTCACTCTATAGTCATCAAACTCTTCCTAACCATTCGGGCATTTTAGTTTTTATCATTCTGATCTTACATTATCATCGATTTTTCTTATGAGCCATAACGTATTAAATATGTCAAAAATCATTGAAGAGGCAGGAAAAAAGTTAATTTGCATCCTTTGGGTGCTGCAATGCTCCATCAAGATTACAAAATAATCCATCAGCAGATTTATGCCAGCTGAATTAAACCAAATTTCAGAAGAAATCTGCTTTTTCTTATCTTCGCTAGTCTTTCTTATCTTTGCTTTAGCATATCTATGCTAGTGTTTGTTCAGTTCTAGTTAAAAACATGGATTTCGAATGAGTTTTAAAAACTTTCCTTATTTTGAAATTTTCTGCTTTGACTATTAAAAAAAATAATCCTTATTAATGCCAATATTTATAAATGGACAAAAAGATGCAAAATTTGTTCAATTTCACAACTAATTTATTATTGTCTTTTTTTCCCTTCTTGGAAACTGTCTTCTCTTTTTCTTTTTAATGTTTAAAACATCAATTGAAGTACAAATTACTGTTATTTCACAAGGAATTTTGTCATTGCAAAAAATTTAAAATGTTTAAAGCAGGGTTGGGTTTTTGCCGTCAAAAACTGGTTTTTGACATGACAGTGGTAAAAACCGTGTTTTTACCGGTAAAACTGTCAAAAACCTACTGTTTTCTTTAATTTATGGCATATAGCGAACAATATATTATTTTCACATAATTTCCTTTATGAATGCTGTAAATGATGGCTGTTGATTTTGCAACTAGTATATACATGTATTCTTATAGAAAGATATACATTCATATAGAAATATTGCAATATACTTATTGAAAATAGTGATACTTACTTTTATCATTATAGCTTGATTTGCAAAGGATTCAAAATTTTGCACTTCTTAATTGTTAGAAATGAACAAACAAACAAAAAAGCTTGGAACTATTAATAAATTCAGGAACTAAAAAGAAGAATTTAAAATTTGGCATTTCTTAAATATTAGAAATAAGCTAAACAAAACTTTCAAAAATTGTAACTAACAAACTATGTCAAGAATGACTTGACATTCTTCAGTAATGTAATATGCCAAACAAAATGATGCTTGGAAATGTTGAAAATTTTGTTTAGTATCCTAATATTTTACTTCAAATTGTATGTTTTGATATAATCATGTTGTGAAAATGCAAGAATAAGTTTTTAAATATCTTTTAACAACTTTTTTTCTAATTTTATTGCCCAAAAATGAATTAATTTTAAATTATAAGCAGTTAAACTCAAATAAAAATATACAGTTTTATCAAAACTATGGGTTTTTGACAGAGGGGTTTTTGACATGACGGTAAAAACCATGGTATAAACCGGTAAAAACCATCATGTGTCAAAAACTTGCCAACCCTGGTTTTAAGTGATTTTTATTGTATATCATACAGAGATTTTTTGTAAAAAACAAACAAAAACTTGAGAATTCCCAAACTTATGGCTTTTGTGTACCGTTTCTAAATTTTTCGTACCGCTGTGTACCACTAATAAAAAAACAAATATATTTTTTACTATAAATAAATTGCAAAAAAGTTAAAAATCACAACTGGCTGTTGACACCACTAATTATTAACTTTTAAGTCTGCAAAAAATAGCCAATAGAAAAATACGTATAATTGTAAATTTTCATGACTAACTTTGTTTTTAATTAAATTTTTTTAAAATTTTCGATTGTTGCCAGATATTTTGCATAAGGACTTGTACCCCTGCTAAACTGTTCCCGTACCTCTGGGGGTATGCGTGCCACACTTTTTGAAACACTGGTCTAGCTGATTCACTAATTTTAATTTTATGATTTATATGACAAAAACAAATTCTAAAGAACCGTTCAATAAAAATAAAAGCTTATTTTTCATCTCATGTTTTCATAGTTAGCAACTAAATAAACATCCTTTAAATTTATGTTTTGTTTTGCTCAACAAATTATGAAATTAATTATTTAGTACTTTTCTTAATTTATTGTTAGTACTTTTTTGTATTGTGCAAATTACAATAGCTATGACATTTGAAATGTTTTATATATTGCTGTACTTATCTTTATACCTATCTGCCTTTAATTTTAGTCACTCTAACGTTTTGGAAAATCTGAAAATAAAAAAATCATTTGATGTTATTAAATGGTATTTATAATTCGCTTAGTGAAAAATTTGAAAATAATTTAGTTTTTTTAAAAATTATTCTTATTATGATATTATCCTTTAATTGTTTTCTTTTAAAAGAAGTAGAAAAATGTATAATAAAATTAAATTATGCATATGGATATTTTAATGTTATTTTATAGCTGAATTTAACTTTATATTTCAGTTATCATCTAGAAATTTGGAAAAGCTATTGAATAAGAAGTTCATATTTGATGTGAGTAAATACTTTTTTTAAATTTTTTTCATTGTAAAATTTGAAAGACATTAAGTTTCTTTAATTATGTTTATCATTCGTGTAAATGCTGAAATTTTTTGTCGAATGAGTTTACCAAATTTGTAATTAATGCTCTTGAAAATATTTAGATCTTACCCAAATTCTCATCAATGACTTGTTATTTGTGTTAAAACAAGACTGTACCTACTGAGATGCTTATAAATTTTAATTAAAACTCAATTTATGTTTACAAACACTAAAGTAAAGTTAAAAAAAATAGTAATTAAATATGTGAGAGAAAGTTATGTCTATCTGTACTCAAAAGTGTGAAAAGTGTACTATAGTAACAATTGTCCTATTTATAGTGTAAAGAAATTTTATAAAATTCAGACCTGCCAAGTGTTAGTGCCTTTGGTCTGATTCTCTCTTGCTTTTTAAGTCAATGTCAAGGAATCTTTGTATTTTCTGAGGCTTTTTTACAGTAAAGTGTTCTCAGTCAATTCTCATACCAGTGTGCACTTTCAAAACAATCTCTCTGTGATCAATTGAATATATTTTTGTAATGCTAATAAATTTCTTTAGTGATATTTTTTAAAAAATTTTTTGCTAGAAATGTACCCGAAAAACTAAGTAGTATAAGACTGCTTTTAAATAAGTGTGTATACAGATTATTATTATTTTTTTTTAGTGTGTTTTTCAATGCTTGCTGAAATAGCTATTTTTTGTTTGTTTTTGTTTTCAAGTACTAAGTTTTCATTTAATATTTTGTGTCCTTAGAAGTATTAGTGAATAATGAGGTGAAAAAGAACAAAAAGTTTAGTAAAAGTTAGCCACAGCAAACTTAGAGAAATCTGTGAAAGCAAACCAGAAAAAGTTATATCTTCTAAAAAATATATGTTACATATATGCATATAAAAATTTCTTAAGAATATGTTAAATGAGTCATTCAATCTGTTTTGAAATAGAGTCATTTAATATTTTATAATTTTTAATGGTAGGAAACATAAATTGAACGCAACTAATATTTTGTTTCTTACACTATGCAGTGGCTATAAAGGGCTGTTTTTTGAGTCTCTAAGTTTGGCAGGGCTGTACTTTCCTAAAATTTAACAAACTCTCTGTGGACAAGTTTGAAATTTTGAAAATTAATCTGCTTTGAAAGTTGTGGGATTTTTGATATTTTGCATTCTTACAGGATAATTGTATTCTGGGTGAACCCTAGAATTCCGGGTTTTCTGTATAATCCTTATAGGCTTAAAAAATAGGAGTAATGTATGTGATTTTCTGCAAATATCGCAGAATTCCGTGTAAGGAAATTTGATAGCAAAAATTCAAATTTGAAATTACTGCTAAATATTTCTAACTAGACATTTACATACACAAGATTCTTCTACCAATTCCACCAGAATCCGCTAATCTCGCTTTTCTTCTCATAATTTTCGAGCATGATTTTCATATTTATCTGATTTAAATGACTTTCGAATTTACTCGATTTTCTTCATATTTATCCGATTGAAAAATCCAATATCATAATTTTTATTTACACATATTTAAAACTAATGTCATGATTCGTATTATTGCATTTTTAAAATCCAATATTCTGATTTCTATTCACAAAAGTTTGAAATCCAATGCCACGATTTATATTCACACATTTTCAATCCTGTGATTCATATTCACACATTTGTAATATCAAACATCCATTTTTGTATTGATAGAGGTTTAAAAGCCGCACTTTGCAGTTCATATTGTCACGTTCTTACAACCATACTAGTAGAATTTTCTCTTATTTTGATTTCTTTGAGATGTTTGCTTCTAAGTCTTTTTTTTTTTCATGAAAAATGTATTCTTAAACATTAAATATTAGACATTACTTTCTTAAAAAATTTTTTTTCAACTCTATCTTGAAATCTATAATGCAATTTTACATCACTGACTATGACAATAAAGGTAGGAGCATAAACAGTAAGAATAACTAGGCAACTTTTGCCATAAAATTGACATGTACCAAATGTATAGATTTTCCGCCTTTTTTTTAAATTTCTGAACATTTAATGGACTTTAGCACATCAATGATACTCTGAGAAGTTATTTTCACAAGATTTATATTTTTAGTTATACAATTATTATTAAAACTGAAAAGGTAACTAATAATCATCTTTTTTTCCAGCTACAATGACTACTGCTGCTAGACCAACATTTGAACCAGCTAGAGGAGGAGGTGGTCGGGGGGAGAAAGACTTGAGTGCACTGTCTAAGCAATATTCTAGTAGAGATCTTCCTGGGCATACAAAATTAAAATACAGGTAAAATTGATATAGTCAGTTTGGTAGATTTCTCCTTTAAGATAAAAATCCTTGAAGTCAATGAATAATTATCAATTTTTCCATATTTTAGCAAGCCCAGTTAAGGATTTGTCGGAGCAATTTTTGAAATAGTAAAATAATTAGCTCATAAACGCTTTTGTTTATCACAAAACTTTTGTTTATATCATGTTGAAACACCACTTAGCAAATGAATTATATTGTAGCTTTTCCTCCAGACATTACAAACACTGCAATGCATTGTTGCAATCTGTGCAGGCTAGAGATATCTTTACTAAATTTAATTTATTTGTGTATAATCTCATTATTTTAATTAGGAAATACTCAGGAAAAATAATTGTAAATTTTAAAAAATCTAGTAAAAGAATTTTATAAATGCTTTTTAAAATAATTTTAAAAATAAGGAACTAAGTTTTTTATGTAAATATTGTATCGTCATTATTTTGTTTAAGCATTTTGTGATTGCAAACAATTTTTGTTGTTTAATTAATTTTTGTACCAGGTGTTTTTTCAAATTTAAATAGCAAATTCTTCATCTTTGTCATACTTTGCTTGAGATTCTATTAAATTTTTTTTCATATGCATGTTTTTGTTTCATTAGATTATTTATAGCACTATTAAACTGTCAACAATTTTTTTAAAATTATTCATTATTTTGCTTGGATATTTTATTTTTATCCTATGAAAATTCTTTTACTAATTATATACTTAATACTAATGTTTTAAATAATTAATAAATAGGCTATATTTTCTTTAACATTCAGCATTTAATTCTGGCTCCATAATTTGTGTAAACTTTAACATGGTGTGTAGTGTTTTTAAAAATGTTTTTAAAGGTGCTTTTTTTCATTGGGTGTTTTTAAAAAGTGCTTAATTTTCCCTTTTCAAAAAAGAGATTTATCTTCATTACCACGATTTTCGCCATGTATTATGCAAAAGCGTGCTTTTCGCATTGTTTTATTCAACGATTTCACAATTCATTTTGGCATACCATCGGTCAATAGCGTATGAAAGCGCCAATCATTTTTCATGTTTGATTAAATACTTACGAGTCCGTATGTGTGTCTACTGAGCTGGGTTCGGTGAGATTATTACCTTCTCGTGTGTAACTCTGCTGTATTTTGCAAGATATTCTCAATTTCTGACTTCATTTTCCATCCTTTAATATCGAACTGAAAAATCTTTCGATCATTTTATAACGGCTAATATAATCAAGAAAAGAGTTCTTTGTCAGAAACTAGTTATTTTCTCATGATCATCTAAAGTCTTTAAAAATTATTTTGCGTTTTGATAATGTATATAGTACTTAAAAATATTTTTGAGTGCTTAAAAAGTACTTAAAGGGTGTTTATTTTTTGTTGAAAGATTTGGCTACGCACCCTGTTTAACTACTCTTTTTAAACTACATTCTGAACAAAATATGCCTGTTCTCTAGAGTTTTTTTTTCAAGGCATATTTTTATTTTTATTATTATTAAAAGAGTGTAGTTGACAATTTTTATTTGAGAATTGGTTTTGTGGGCTTTTTGTGCTGTGATAGCTTTGTTTGCTTTTTACTTACTTAAATAACCGGCTTTTAAAGACTATGCTTTCAACCCTGACTGCTATTTTTAAATGCCTGTAAACTAGTTTTATATTGTAAATATTAAAGTAATTAAAGAAAAGTTAAATGATTTAACTTAAAAATGTATGTATGGGTTAAGGCTGCAGACAAATTATGATTTATGAAAATGGTGTTTTAAGTTGATAAGACTAATAGTTTGGATATGATGTATTACATTAATTGACTTCTACCTCTTTTTTGTGTGCGCTGGATTGAATGAAAATAAACAATGCAATTAATAGTTCAGCAATTGTAATAATCTCTATTTTTGACTTTAGGCAAACAGGACAAAATACCTCTGATGAATTAAAAAACAGAGACTTCAGAAGAGAGTTGGAAGAAAAAGAGAGGGTTGTTGTTCACGAGAGAGAAGGAAAAAGAACTTCTAGAGGTTTGTTTATAATTTGAAATCTTTTTAATTTTTTGTTGGTTTATACTGATTTGTTTTATCATTCGGTTTTAATTTGCTTGTATAATAGAGGTGCACTATCTGTGTCCTGGAGGTGTTTTTGAATAATCAATGTGCAGCATTCCCCCACTTCTCAAACTGTATTAGTAATGTGCGGAGGTAGCGTAAAATGAGAGAAAGCGTTTTGTAAATTAGGAGTTTATTTGCGTTTCCCTTTCGGGAGTAGAGCGTAGACTGTAATGGCGTACAAACACAGACTGCTTGCCAAGTTGGCGTATTTACAGTGTGCCAAGGGGAGATGCTCGAACGCCAAGAGCGTAACTTACAAATACGGAACATCCCGCCCGGCGTTGAAATATGCATGTTTCAATAAGGAAAAATATATACAAAGTTACATCACTATTCTTACAAATAAAAGAAAAAGAAATAAAACAACTAAATAACCATACAATTAGTAAATGAATACAATCAGTGTAATAATTAAATAGATACAAATGAACATTTCAATTCAACTCAAAATTATCTACTATAGGCAAAATGCTAATTTTTGAAATTGGCCTTCGAAAATTTCCTTTCGCAGTGCGAATATCTGCAACTCTAACGTTGCCATCTGAACCTGAAATTACTCTAATGATTCGACCTAAAGGCCACTGATAGGTTGGAAGTTGGATGTCCTTTACAAGAACTAGCATGCCAGGACATAAATTTTGCTTTTTGAGCAGCCACTTTGAGCGTTGTTGCAAATGGCTCAAATAACTGTTTTGCCAATGTCTCCAAATAGTTTGAACTAATTTTTGAACCCTTTGCCATCTATTAAGAAGATTGTCTTTTTTGTCGATGAAGTTAGGTTCTGGTATCGAATTTATAGGTTTTCCTATAAGGAAATGACCCGGTGTTAAAACTTGAAATTCGTCAGTATCAGACGGTAGAGGAGTGAGAGGTCGCGAATTGAGGATACCCTCTATTTGAGTGATTACTGTTAAAAACTCTTCAAGCGTTAGTCTTGCGGAGCCTACCACTCTCTTAAAATGATATTTAAAAGATTTCACTCCTGCCTCCCAAAGACCGCCAAAGTTGGGAGCCCTAGGAGGCAAAAATTTCCATCTTATGCCTTCGGAGGAAAGCATATTCGAAACGTCTTCGCTACTATACATTAATTTGTATAAGCGTTTAAGTTCTGCGGAAGNTGCTTTTGTTTTGTAATTACCATGCATTTATCATAGTTGAATTGAACTTTTTTTTTTTTTTTTTAAAGTTCAGATGATTTTTATTATTTATTTTTGAAATGCAAGTAATCTTCTATTTCTTTGTGATTAACACTTTAACAAAAAAATTCTTACATAGAGCTACATTAATTGTATACTTAGGAAAAAAAATATTCTGTGTTTCTGTGGAAAATATTGACATTCTAGAGAAAGAAAAACAATGATAAATGAGAAGCAATTACAAGGGTAGGCGGACATTTGACAAAAGCCTTCTTTGCTTGTGTTATCCTGGCAATGTAGTTGGATTGGACTAGCTTAGTAAGCTAAGCAAGGCCTATGGTGAAACTTGTATTGAAATGTTATTGTCTTTTATAGTTTTCTTTTACTTACATACTAATCTTTAAAAACTCATTACAGATCTAAGTGGTGGTTCATCCAAAAAATCAAGACTAGATCAATTGCCAGCAGCAAACGTAGATGCAGATGACCCAGTTGATGAGGTATAAAATTTAATTACTTGGAAATGCAGTCTTAGTTATGATTATTTGAGGTTATTTTTTAAATCCTAGATAAAGATTTTTTATATTGCAGAATTTTTGTATCCATCTAAGTTAGGCTTTTTGTTTAAAATTTTTTACATACTGAAGTATTGATATTCTTCTGTATTTCAGAATATCAATACTTCGGTGTGTCCAAATAAAATTCGTTTTTTCTTTGTATAACAATTGAGCTTGTTATTATTTTTAAAAATAATAAATTTGTGTTAAATGTTTATATTTTTGAACATCTAACTCCTTTTCTTACTTGCCAAACCACTGACTTATCGTAAAGATACAGCTCCCAGTAGAACACAGAAGTTGATCATCACTGTTTGTGGTCAGTAGAAGGGGGTGTGATCACTTCAAAGGGGCTCAGGATTCACAGTATTGGTTCTCATGAAATTATTCAACTGTAAATTGCTTGGCACTTCATTCAAAAATTACAAAAGCTGGAGGAGCCATCCTCTCTGCAGGCAGAGGATAAAAATTGTGGTTTCCTGGCTTCGGTTCATCCTCTAGGATGTTTCCCAGACTGTGGGCAATAGTGCGATATAAATAATGTACTATTACTTCCTTTTCCTACCTACATTTCCTATTTGTGCAGAACTGGCAAAAGGCTTTAAGTCTTTTCATCCAGTCACTCCTGACTTTGACAATGCAACAGATCATATCCTATCCTTTCAATCTATCTTTGATAAGATAGTCTTACCCGTACCTTTGCCAAAATACTTTTTAGTTTCTTTTTTCACATCTACTGCCAAGAATCCATCTAAAACATTCACACAATTTGATATTAAATGTGGCATTTTGCCTTCGTTTTATGATTTCTTTATTTATTGATGGAGTATTAGCTCTGTTAAAAGTTTTTTATTTGATATTTGATAGGTCCTGAAGTTTCTTGAAATTATTTTTTAAAGTTTTACTGTGATGCTAATCATTTCTATTTGTGCAGAACTGGCAAAAAGGCTTTAAGTCTTTTCATCCAGCCACTCCTGACTTTGGCAATGCAACAGGTCATATCCTATCCTTTCAATCTACCTTTGTTAAGATAGTCTTGCCCGTACCTTTGCCAAAATACTTTTTAGTTTCTTTTTTTACATCTACTGCCAAAGAATCCATCTAAAACATTCACACAATTTGATATTAAATGTGGCATTTTGCCTTCGTCTTATGATTTCTTTATTTATTGATGGAGTATTAGCTCTGTTATAAGTTTTTTATTTGATAGATATTTGATAGATCCTGAAGTTTCTTGAAATTATTTTTTAAATTTTTACTGTGATGCTAATCGTTTCGTTCTCCGCCAAGATTTTATAGTAGTAGTGAAATAAAGATCAAAACTTTTGGAAATTTGTTCCATACTGCAAAACTTTGAAAGCCTCAGCAGAAGATAACTGGCATTTTAATTATAGGTTCGAATTATACATGACTATGGGAATGCATATAGGGGTGAACAAAATGACTTCAAATCAAATTTAGTAAACTGAGAAGGATGCATTAGAAATTAAATTTGTTTACTGTTAGAAAAAAAACTTGTTCACAAAGTGGAGCAAGTTGGCTTCTTTGCAGACATTTTGAAATGTTTTAGGTTTTTGTTTTTCTGATTTTCACACGCTCTAGCTCCATTCAGAAAAGAATATTCAAAAGCCTTGTATGTTGATTTATTTTGGTTTTTAATTTTATACTTAATGTTATCAAAGAAACTAAACAGATTTCAAAAGCATGATCTATCTTTTGTCATTCTGTGCTACTTCCATCCTATGCAATTTAGAGCCATCCTTAGCAGTGTTACTGTGCTACTTCCTTCCTTAGCAATGGCTATGAAATAAACCAAAGAATCACCCTTCTTTTATCTTTTCAGAATTGATTTCAATGTTTCTGTTTTTAGTTTTCTCATTATTTTTCCTTCACTTTTATAGCTGTCAAGACCAATTTTATGTGTATAATTGTTGAAAATTTGTGTTTTTCAATTGAGATTAGATGATATGAGGCTAATGTCATCGAAATTAAGATCCTTTTAGAAAAATTGGCATACAACTCATTTGAAACTAGCATAATGACAGTCCTTAATTTTAAATATCTATATTTGATAAAAATGGTCATGGTTGTTATATCAATCAAACATGTTCACTTTTTAACCATTATCAAGAATCAGACAGGTTATAAAGCCGTTTACTGTGAAAATTTATTAAATTTAACTGTCAAGCATGTAGTTTAAGTCTTTGTTTTTTTTTCTATTTAATTTAAAATTCTCCAAATTATAAAGATTAAGACTTCTTTACAAATTTTTTTATTAAAATCTTATATTATTATTAGTTTTGCAAATAATCTACGCAATAATAATATTTGAATATCATATATAATAATAAAAAGAGTTTGGTTATCAGACTCTCCAGATCTCAAAATCAAAATTGTTAGGTAACTTGTGTACATTTATTCAAAGCGTATTTGAGGGCCTTTGAATTGGAGGATGAAAAGTACTCAGTGTTAATGTTAGAGACATGTGTTCTAAGAAATTGTCTATTCTCAAGTGTCTCATAACAATTGCAGGTTCATTTTTACATTCACTTAAATGAGTAATTATTTTTTGTCACTCTTCTAGGGGGGTGAGGTTTAGAATGCAAAAGAGTCTGTGCATAATTTGCACGAACACTGCTCACGGAAAATTTATCACTATTGCCGCCAATTTTTTAACACTACTTTTTATTTTTTGAAAAAAAGAAAGACTGGTTAGGGCCAGAATTGCATGTGTATAACATTAACACTGAGAAATGATCAGTGTTAATGTTATACACATTTTTTCTAAAAAATCTAATCAATTCAATTCAATAGACTTGATTTCAAAGTCAATTTAATTTACTTTGATTTGTGTATTTCTAACCTTATCAATAAAATTAATTAAAATACTCTAACTTTAATTACTATTATATTTATTTATTAATTATATTTATTATATTAATTATTATTGTTAAATTTTTTTGCCTAAAGTTACTTTAATGAATATTAATATATATTTATGCTTCTAACGCTGTGAAAAACATTAACGCTGTGTCATTTATAATGTGAAATAAATATTTGGTTTATAGAATCAGTTTTTTAATTGAATCAAAACCTTCAGGTATTGATGAAATCACATTATATAGTTGGCATCGTATATGCTATTACAACATTTTGTTTTAGATTTATCAGTTGGAAAAGTAATCAAAATAAAAAACTGTTCTAGTCATGAATTAAAAATAATAATAAAATTATACAATAAAAAAAACTGCAGTGTGATTCTAAGCATAATGTTTATAAATTTTTAAGCAATGTCAGTCTCATGAAAAGGATTTTAATTGCAGATAAATATTAAGGTCACCGAAGCGAAAAGCAGAATCAAATTAATAAAAATTATACTGGAGGGTGAAAATTGAAAATTCAACTAGATTTTACCTTTGTATCAAAAATTTTGCCTTCCCTGCTTATGTAATAAAAATGCAAATTTTTAATCGCAAATACTTGCTGTAATTTATAATTCTTATATGCTCAATCAAACTGTATCTTACTTCAAATTTCAAAATATCACATATTCATTGGGATTGTTTGAAAAATAAATGTAAATAAAATTTCTCAATATGATGCAGCAAGTATTTATAAGGAGAAAAAAAATCTTCAATGTAAACATTTTATATTTCTAAATGTTTTTGTAATTTTAAATTTAGGATGATGAAAGTGATGACAGTGATGATGATGATACTGCTGAATTGATGGCAGAACTACATCAAATTAAAAAGGAAAGAGCTGAAGAAGCTGCCAGGAAGGTAAAATTTATTTTTTAGAATTCATAAAACTAGATTATGAGCTTATAATCATAGTATAGTCTATAGCAATCTTTATGTTTATAGCACATATATTTATATCTATAGTCGGTTGTCTATTCTATTGGAATTTCCAGAAGACTTCTGGTTTTTGGCAGTTTTTTCTAGTCTCGTGATTTAAACGAAATTTTCTTAGTTTTTATATGTTTTAGAAAATTCTTTAAAAATATGTTATGTGCCTCTTTGTGATAATGCCTGAACCTTCTGTGCTGGAATTTTGAAATTTGGGTGCCAAGAGGAGTTTTATCCCCTTGATTGTGACCCTAAAATAGTTCAAAACTTTCAATTAGTCTGTTAGAGAGGGATATTTCGAAATTATTTTTTTTCCTCACAAATTTATTAGGCATTGCTATAAATTAAACTGTAGATCATTCTGTTTTGTTAAATTTATACATCCCTGAAGTTTACTAGCTTACAGCTCTTTTTATCTATCAAAACCAAGCTTTATAACTATTCTTTAATAATTATTTTTTATTTTTGATCAAATGTCTCGGATGAGCATTGGCAAATGTAGAATGATGTCACTGAATTGGAAGTTTGAATACTGTATGAAACCATGTGTTTATTTTTTATAGTTACAATACTATATGAAACCATGTGATTATATTTTTATTATTAGAATACTGTTTGAAACCATGCGCTTATTATTTTTTATTGTTGGAAATCTTAAATGAAGCCATGTGTTTATTTCTATTAATCATATTTATCTTAACATAAATGACTCAGTACTTTCATTTTGCTTTCTAACAGAGGGTAGAATGCTGAATTTGTTAAAGTCATACAAGTTTTTTTTTCTTTTCTTTAATATATTTCTAACAAATTAGTATAGCCAAAGGAAAATATGCATATTTTTTTATTTAACTACATCAAAGTGATTAAAATTTAGCACCTACATATTAAAAGTTTTTAAAAGTTACGATAGGAGTGCGCTACCATTTTTGAGAAGGGGTAGGGAAATAATAATTTTACTTTCAGAACCATCAATAAATTCAGTTTTTACTTCAATTGATGTTAACTTAGTTATTTCTTAGTTCAATTAAAATATAAAAAATTTATCTTAAACATTTATGGACTAAGTCAAGCTATTTATATGTAATCTTTGCATATAATTTTTTAAGTAAAAAATATTTTAGGTTTTGTCTTTTTTATATTCTCTAGTAAAATCAAATTATTATCTGGTTTTTAATTTTTTTTCTGTAGGAAAATAATCCCTTTAATTTCTACACTAAATAACTTTAATCTTCAATTTTTTGATAAATATTCAAACTACATTTGTCTTGAACTTTTATTTGATACATCCAACTGATTTACAGACTTCACTACATTTTATCAACCTTCCGACTCTTAGGCTCCTGTGTCCAATCTCAGGCCAACAAAGTGTTTTCTCAGGCTTTTTTCTAAATAATAATGAATTGGTGAACCCACGCACCCTTTGCATACAGCTCCAAAACTCTTTCTCCCAGATAACCGTCTTTGTATTTCAAGTCTCTTTGGTTTATCTGTAACTCCTTTCTAGAATCTTTTTTTTTTCCATAAAAAAAAAACAAAAAACTTTTTGATGTTGATGTGAAACCAGTGACCCTTTTATATAATTTTTTCTGACGCTTTAATTACAAGTAATAATATACTATTTTTAATCGTAAAAAACAATCTAATCGTTTTTTTAAAAAAAAAATGTCTTACATTATTGAAAGTATGTTTGTACTAAAATATAAAATTTAAAAAAAGTAGTTGGAAAATTTTTTTCTCATTCATATTAAAAAATTTATCAATAATTAATTTTGTAAATCAAAAAAATTTCAGTGATAAAAAACATTTTTTCTTGAATCTAAATAAGTGCAAATTTGGAAAAGAATTGTTTGGTGATTGAGTGCGCCATGTTTAGAAGATTTTACCTTAACGCAGAAAAAGACACCAGTGTTTCAAGCTGAATTTTGTAACTATAAATTATTTAAGCTAATAAATATAATATTTTTCACTTAAATTAATTTAACTAAATTCACTTTATAATTAATAATTTACTAAATTCACTTAAATAATATAATAGATGTTTTTAACCTAAATTAGTAAACAATAATTAAAAAAGTATGAAAAATAAATTCTTCAGCAAAGGGTTAGAAAAATATATATGATTTTCTTTTAAGAGAAATACTTGATTCATAAAATGAATAATAATGAGAATAAAATAGCTAGCTTCAGAATTTTTTTATTCTTTTGATGAGATAATAATGAGAATAAAATAGCTAGCTTCAGAATTTTTCATTCTTTTGATGAGATAATAATGAGAATAAAATTGCTAGCTTCAGAATTTTTTCATTCTTTTGATGAGATTGATGCAATATAATATATATTTAGTAGCAAAAAAAAGTAATGCCTGTAGTTGTTCTCCCAGTTAATGCTGGTGGTATTAACCATTCTTTTTAGCAATGTGACCCTTGAAAACATATTCAGCCACATAAAAAAAAAAATTAAACTTAATTCTTTTCTTGCAAATTGCTGAAAAATATTTACATAAAGTTTTTGAAAAATGCTATATTAGTCACTCAGTCTGAGTTTCTAATTTTAAGGGAGAAAAGAAATTATTTAAATAAATTTGATTTAAAGAATATATGAATTTATTTATTTACTCATTTTAATTGTTTTGTTATTATGTTATGTTATGCTCAGAGCAAAAATCTCAGGCTTTTTGAATTTCTGAAGTTGGCAGGTCTCATTTTGGAATTGATTTGAACCATTATAAAATAAATTTTCAGTATAATATTAAATTATTCTGTTTTATTAATTTATTTATAATCTTTTTTTTTGGTGAGGGTCTGGGTTTTATCAGAAATAATATATATTTTTTTTAATTGTGAACATTACACACTGAATTTTTTATTGAAATTCACTTTATTGACTTTTTTTAATTTTTTGAAAAAAAGAGAAAAAATTCTAGTAGGGCATAGGAACAGACCAGTGGAAAATGAGTATGGACTAGTAATATCTTTTACTTACAGATCACTGACTAAATTTTTTAATTTCTACACCTGGTTTATTTAAGTTTTTTTTTTCTTTCAAAAATTTAGTAAAATATGTTTGTGGAATGATTATAATTTTTGTATACTTGTTTTCTTAATGTATTTTTAATTGTTTTAATGCGCACTGATCCATCACAGAAAGCCCCATGGGTTGAGCACCCCCTTTGTCATAGTACCATTCCAACTTTGCAAAACTGGCTACAACTAGCAGTCTGATTAACTGTCAAATTTAGTTATCTTGGGCTGAAAGTATTTCTGCTTATATTAGAGCTGACAAACTTATGGCACCAAGTGGCATGTGAATGATGTTGCAGAGGCACATGAAAAGTACAAATTTAATTATTTTTAATCACTAACATTCTTTGATAAAAAAAATCCAATGCTGGCGGTTCTAATAGGTTCATTCAATAAAAGTACAATTTTGATGCCATTATAACATTTTCTAAGGTATGATGTTGATAATATAGTGCCCTCTCAACTATATTGTTATTATAGTAGAGATCTATGAAAAATTAAAAATATCTGGCTTTTAATTATATAAATTTAATTTTATTGATTAGGACAAAGGATATCAGCTTTACGATATTTTACCCTAGTTAATATTAAAATTATAATATATTAATTTAAAATAATATTTATTCGATTTTAATTGGAAGTATAGTACACCTAGTAATTCTATAGTTTAAAACCATTCTACGATGGTTTAAAAGCTTTTTAAGATGTAATTTATTGAGTTGCACACTTAAGGATTGAAAATAATAAATCACGATTTCATTGCCACCCATATTGGAAAATGTTCTCCATTTCTGGCTTATACTATTGTATTTTTTAAAGTTTTTTTTTCTCCAGTATTTATTAGTATTATTCAGCTAATAGTTTCAACAGCTTTTAAGAGGTAGTATAATACACAAATTAATTCTATAGGTTTAAACCATTGTATAACATTTTAAAGATTTTTTTAGGAGTAATATATTGATTGACACTCTTTTAAGGGCAGAAAATAATGAATCACGATTTTATTGGCACCCTTATGAGAAAAAGTACTCCGTCTCTGGCTTATGCTATTGTGTTTTTTTTCCGGTATGTTTTGATATTATTCAGCAATTATATTTAGCAGCTATTAACAGCAAGTATAATACACAAAGTAATTCTATAGTTTAAAACCATTGTATAATAGTTTAATTGTTTTTTTGTTTTTTTTAAAAAAACAGTAATTTATCGAGTGCCCTGCTGAAGGAACAAAAATATTAAATCACAATTTAATTGGTACCCTTATGGAAAAATTGCCACAAGACCTTTTTCTAACTTGGTGTGTAGCGTTTTTAAAGGTGCTTATTTTCGATTTTCATTTTTTAAAAGCACTTAAAGGTGCTTTTTTCATTAGGTGTTTTTAAAAAGTACTTAATTTTCCCTTTTCGAAATTGAGATTTTTTTTTCTTTACCAACATGATTTTTGCCACGTATTATGCAAAAGCGTGCTTTTCACATTGTTCTATTCAACATTTTCACAATTCATTCAGCCATAATTAATTTCGACCTACCGTCTGACCATAACGTATGGAAACGTCAATCATTTTGCATATTCGATGAAATACTTGGAGAGTCTGCATGTGCATCTACTGAGTTCGGTGATATTCTACCACTCTCATGTACAACTCTGTCGCATTTTGCAAGATATTCTCAATTTCAGGCTTCATTTTTTACCTTCTGAAATCGAACCGAAAAATATTTCTATCCTTTATGGCTAATATAATCAAGAAAAAGAGTTCTATCGCAGAAACTAGTTGTTTTATCATGATCATGTAAAGTCTTTGAAAAATATTTTTCATTTTGTTAATGTATATAGTGCTTAAAAAGTACTTAAAAGGTGCTTATTTTTTGTTGACTATGAACCCTGTCAAAATAAAAATCATTTATTAATGATGGATTTCCTTTCCACAAAACATTAGGAAGCTGAGAGGAAAGCCCAGGAAGAAAAAATAAGAACTGAAAACATTCTGCGTGGGAATCCCCTTCTGAATGAGAAAGCAGAGTTCAAAGTGAAAAGAAGATGGGACAGCGATGTTGTTTTCAAAAACTGTGCCATCGATGAGCCGGATAGAAAGGAGAAGCCCTTCATCAATGACACTTTAAGATCTAGTTTTCATAAAAAATTTATGGAGAAGTATGTAAAATAAAAACAAGACAGGAATGTCTTCTTGTTGTACATAATTCTTTGTTTTATTTTATACTCTCTTTTTTTAATTTTACCATCTTGAACAAGAATTTCCAAGCTTTCATATGTATTTATGTAGTTATTTTAGTAACTGCCGTGTAATAATAAAAACTTAGTAAAAAAGATTGTTTATTGCTTGTTGTTTCATTTCATTTTTCTTAAACTTTTTATTAGAGTATATGGTATAGTTCTAACTCATCAAGAGATTTATCTACTTTAAATTCTAAGGAAATGAGGTCTTTCATAGGGGAACGTTTCATGAATCATGATGCAAGTCTAATTATTTAGTATTCAATCTTTAAGGTGTTCCTTTTAAAATGATTGAGCAAAATTAAACACCCAATTATGAGAAAAAAATTGAAAATTTGCATGGCTATAACTCTCAATCCAGGTGAAACAGATTAACTTTTAAGGCCAACAGATGGCGCTCAGACTGAACACATATAATGAATATTAATGTTTTTATTTTGTTTTAGTTTGATTTCCATAGCTTCGTTAAAGAAGATCGTTTTGTGTAATGTCCGTCCTGTCATTAAATTTGTTATTGTTAGAATTCGTTTTCTTTAAACACAAGCGAAGAAGATTTGCAGTAGCGAAGTCTGGTAAATAGATAAGATCCAGGTAGGAAAAAATAATTGAACTTATTTCTATTCTATTTCTTCACCAGGTAAATGATGTGCTCATTTGATGTTAGGGGTTCACTTCTCGCAAAGGGTAACTTTTAAAATTTTTTTTTTAAATTTGTTTAATAAAAGTTTTATTTATTAAAATTAGTTTATATATTAAAAGTATTAATTACTAGATGCTTAATTTACAATAAAAATTCTTAATTACTTTTGTCAATGAAATATGATAAAAAAGTTTTCAATATTTCATCATTTTTAATATACTTCATTCCATTATTATAAATGTTCAGTTTTGTGTGCGAGCTGCGCACTATAACGAAAAACTAAGTGAAATAGTCAGTGTATTAATATCCTCAAAAAAGGCAAGTATGCGAAATTATTGTGTGAGTGAAATAAAATAACAGTCCAATGTTTCAATAAGTATTACTTATATACTTTATTACACTCATTATTATTTACTAGTTTAGATTGCAGAATAGTCATATAAAGTAAAATAATTAAAAAAGAAATTCCTATTTCCTGCCAAAAGGGATGTGTCTGCACTTTTTTTTTAAAATGTGAAAATCCCCCAGGTGCACACTCTTGTATGACTGGAATGGCGGGGATTCCAAGCTGGACCTTGGCATTTTTCCATTTCTCTTTCGCGACGGTCCTGCTTTGAATTTGCAACTTTCCACCGAATATTTACATTGACCTACTGAACGAATATTATTTCATTTACTTTAAAACACTGATTATAATTTACATATATTGGATTTTCAGGTTCTTTTTTTTTATTTCTTTTGCTGTTTATGTTAGGTTTCTTGATTTATGTTTTGTCTATTTATTTTAAAACAACTATTTTTTCCTCAAAGCATACAGACGAACAACGTTGACTAGCGCTGGCCAGCATGTTTGTCGTGTTTTGCATCTTGTAGCCAATCCTCCGATATTCTCTAGTGACGTCAATTTGGCGCAAAGCTCGCACTTTTCATTCAAGAACAAAGCGTTCGGCCTTACTAGCTCGAACTAATATTGGAGCATTTCTTTTTGTGACATATTTTAAGACATTTGTTATTTTCTGTAATGACTTTCCTCAGCTTTAACAGTGAATTTACAAAAATTTAAAACTATTAACGAAATGCCAGTTTGCGCGATTGCAACTTGTAAAAATTCTGATAGAAAAAGTACAGAAACGTTCGAAACTTTTCCTCCACATAGAAACGTTCGAAACTGCCCCTCCCCACAGAAACGCTCGAAAATACCCACAACAGAAACGCTCGAAACTGCCCGTCCCCGTAGAAACTGCCTCTCCCCACTGAAACGTTCGAAACTGCCCCCCCCCACAGAAACGTTCGAAACTGCCCCACCATACAGAATCGTTGGAAAATACACCCAACAGAAACGTTCGAAACTGCCCCCCACAGAAACGTTCGAAACTACCACTTCCCACAAAACATTCGAAACTGCCCCTCCACGCAGAAATGTTCGAAACTGCACCACCCCACAGAAACGTTAGAAACTACCTCTTCCCATAAAAACATTCGAAACTACCCAACCCCACTGAAACTTTCCCTACACATAGAAACGTTCGAAACTGCCCCACACGGAAACGTTCGAAACTTCCACCCCACATAAACGTTCGAAACTTCCCCTCCTCCCCAAAGAAATGTTCGAAATTGCCTCCCCCCTAAAGAAGCGTTCGAAACTGCCCCCACAGAAACGTTTGAAACTGCCCCTCCTCACAGATACGTTAGAAACTGCCTCTTCCAACAAAAACATTCGAAACTGCCCCTCCCCGCTGAAACATTCGAAGCTGCTCCCACAGAAACGTTCGAAACTGTCCACCACAAAAACGTTCGAAACTGCCTCTCCCCACAAAAGCATTCGAAACTGCTCCTCCCCACAGAAACATTCGAACTGCGCCCCACAGAAACGTTCGAAACTGCCCCTCCCCACAGAAACGTTAGCAACTGCCTCTTCCTACAAAAACATTCAAAACTGCCCCTCCCTGCAGAAACGTTCGAAACTGCCCCCTCAGAAACGTTCGAAACTGTCCACCACAAAACCGTTCGAAACTGTCCTCCACAGAAACGTACGAAACAGCACCCCCACTGAAACGTTCGAAACTGCCCCTCCCCAAAGAAATGTTCGAAACTGCCCCACCCCACAGAAATGTTCGAAACTGTCCCAATCCACAGAAATGTTCGAAACTGCCCGACCCCACAGAAACGTTCGAAACTGCCCCACCCCCACAGAAACGTTCGAAACTGCCCCACCCCACAGAGACGTTCGAAACTGCCCTTCCCCAAAGAAACGTTCGAAAAACCCCCCACAGAAGTGTTTGAAACTGCCCCTCCCCATAGAAACATTCGAAACTGCCCTTCTCCAAAGAAACGTTCGAAACTGCCTCTTCCCACAAAAACATTCGAAACTGCTCCTCCCCACAGAAACGTTCGAAACTGCCCCTCCCCACAGAAACGTTCGAAACTGCGCCTGCCCTCAGAAACGTTAGAAACTGCCCCTCCGCACAGAAACGTTCGAATTAGTCTCCCACAGAAAGGTTCGAAAATTACCCCGCAGAAAAGTTCGAAGCTACCCTCGCAGAAACGTCCGAAGTTGCCCCACACTAAAGTGTTCGAAACTGCCCCCCAGAAAAATGTTCGAATCTGCCCCCTACAGAAACGTTCGAAACTGTCCCCCCACAGAAACGTTTAAACTGCCCCACCCCACAGAAACGTCGACCCACCCCACAGAAACGTTCGAAACTGCTCCACCCCACAGAAACGTTCGAAGCCATCACAATTGTGATCCTCTACAAAGAGGATGGCACCCCCGCTTCGGTAGCCCGACGACCTACACGCGAAGTCGAGCACTTTTCGGTAGAACAGTTTAACGAGGACCCATACCGCACACCCTCGGTCCCTACGCAGACTGATCCAAGTGGTCTCCCACCCGCACACTGACCGCTGCCAGTGATGCTTGACTTTGGTGATCTTCTAGGAGCCGTGTCTTAACGTAGTGTAAATCAATGCATTCGTATCCAGAGGAAGTTATAACGGTCTCTTATTGTGCTGCCATCTTCTGATAGTTGCGAGAACCACCGTCAGGTATAAGTTTAATATTGCAAGGTAAAATTGAAAATTAATCGGGCGATCTGGGAAATATGGTCCCCATAGTTTGGTCAGGAGAGCAATTCGCAGTTTGGGAAGCTATTTTTACTTTTTGGCGTATTTTGCCATATTTCGAGCACTTTTTTAGTGAATTGAAAAAATTTTTTCACACAATTATAAAATTCATTTGTCCTAAAATAATTCCCTGCGAAAAATAAATTTTAGTAAATATGAACTATATTTAATTATTTTATTCAATAATAGTTGATAAAATTTTGAATTAGAAGGCGTAAAATTTTTTACATCATTTCAAAGTATGTAATGTTACATGGCAAAATTCAAAATTTGAAAGAAACCGTTTGAATAGTTTCTGAGAAATTGAATTTTAAAAATATTGTTTTTCTAAAATTTGATTTCTTAGTAACTGTCCAACCGATTTCACATAAATTTTGTATATTGCCATGTAAAATTAGATTCTTTATATAATGCAATGTAAAAAATTGATGATATAAAAGGTGTAATGATGTAAAAAATTATATAACTTTCAACTCAAAATTTTTTCGACTGTTCTTAAGTAAAATGGAATTATCTTTGCTTGGAATTATAATGCTTGCAATTATCTTTAAATAAACTTTATAATTGTGGGCAAAAATTTTTCCATTTCGCTTAAAAAGTTCTTGAGCTATGGCAAAAAATGCAAAATTTAACATCATGGTACAACTTTGATCCAAATTATCCATCATCCGAACTTTGGATCGCTTTCCTAACCCAAACTATGGGGACCATATTTTCCAGATTATGACAGTCCCCTATATTTTGACTCCGAATCCGTTGAAAAAAAGAAATGTTTATTCAGAGAAGTAAATTTTTGTGTCTAAATTCGTAAGTTAAAATATTGTCAGCACTAATTAATTAGCATATTTGAGGTAAAGGCTCCCTATCTTAGACTTAATTCA